TAATGGTGGTGAACATTTCCTCAAATGTTTGGTGGTCATTTGAGTGTTTTGCTTTGTGACTTGTCTATTTATGTCCTTTACCCACCTTTTAATCAGATTAGTTTTTCTTATTGAGATGTTAGAAAACTTTGTAGTGTTTAGTAATTAGTCCATTATCTGTTGTGTCATTGCTGAAGATTTTTCTCAATCCATGACTTTGCTTTTTTTACTTTGATGAAATCTTTTGATGTGCATAAGTATTTTATTTTTAATAGGTTCCAGTCATCTATTTTACCTTCCACTGTTTGTGCCTTCTTTATTATAATTGGTAGTCTGTGCATGTCCTGCAACAGGGCACTTACCTTTGTTCCGAAATTTTCATTGATGATTTTTATAACTTTGTCACTTACTTTTAAGTCTGCAATCCATATTTTGTGTGTTTTTGCACATGAGGTGATGTATAAGTCTTGTTCCATACTTCTTCAGATAGAGACTCCAGTTTTGTAGCACCATTGGTCAAAGAGAGTGTCCCTTTCACATGAATGGTTTTTAGATCTTTGTCAAAAATCAGTTGCCTGTATATAGATGATTTTATGTTCAGACTTTCCATCCTGTTCCATGTAACTATGAGCCTATGAGTGTACCAATACCAGGCTATTTAGACGACTGTGCTTGTGCATTAGTTTTGAGGATCGCGGTGCAAGGTCCCTGACTTTGTTCTTTCTTTTGAGAAGTGTCTTCCTTTTCCTGGACCTATTCTCTCTCCATATCAAGAGAGTAATTCGTTTTTCCATTTCTTTAGGAAGGAAGTTGGTATTTGGATCAGCATTGTGTTGTAGTTGTGATTGCTTTGGGTAGCATTAACATTTTCACAATATTGTCTTTTTATCCATGAACACAGGACATACCTCCATTTGTGTAGGTCTCTTTTGGCTTCTTGTAATAATGTTCTGTAGTTTTCCATAGTAGGAAACCTGGAGTACAGGTCTTCTGTTTCTTTGGTCATATTTATCCCTAGGTATTTCATCTTGTTTGGCAAATACAAATGATCCTGTTTACTTGAATTCTTTTACAAAGGTCTCTTAACTGGTATATAGAAATACAATTGATTTCTGTTTGTTGATTTTGTATTCCTCTACTTTATCACATCCCTCGATTATTTCCAACAGTCTTTTTGTGGAGTCCTTGGAGTTCACTCTGTATAAAATCATTTCCTCTGCTAATAGTGAGAACTTAACTTCTTCGTTTTCCTACTGTATTCCCTTGATTTCTTCCTTGTATCTAATCATTTTAGCTAAGATTTCCAGCATGGCGATGATGATGTTGAATAAGAGTGGTGCTAAGGGACACCCTTGTCTAGTTCCTGTTTTCAAGGGAAATACTTTCCGTTTTTATCCCATTGTGTGTGCTATTAGGCACTGGATTTTCATATATGACCTTTATTGTGGTACTTTCCCTCCTTATCATACTTTATTGAGTGTTTTTTATTAGAAATGTGTATTGGATATTATCATATGCTTTTCTGCATCCATTGATATGATCATGTGGCTTTTACTCATTATCTTGTTTACATGGTTCGTTACATTGATTGTTTTTTGAATGATGAACCATCCTATCCTTGCATGCCTGGTATGAATCCCACTTGGTCGTGAAGATTTTTCTTTTTATGTTGTTGGATTATATTAGCCAGAAGCTTGTTGAGAATTTTTTTGCATGTCTGTTCCTGATGAAAATTTGTGTGTAGTTTTCTGCCTTTGTAGGCTCGTAGCCTGTTTTTTGGTATAGGATGATGCTTGCTGCATAGAATGAACTTCTGTCCCTTTCCATAATCTAGCAGAGTGTATGTAGAATTGTGAACAGCTCTTTCCTTAATACTTGGTAGAATTCTCCCATGAAGCCATCTGGTCTTGGGCTTTATCTTGGGTGGAAATTTCTTGTGAAATATCTCTAATTATTCCTTTGATATGAGTCTGTTGAGGATTTCCATATCTGCCTGCGTTAATTTGCATAAATAGTGTATTTCTAGGTATTTGTTCAGTTCTGCTAGGTTGTCAAACTTGTTGGATTACTGTCTTTTGTTCTTACTATTTTTATTTGACATTGATGTGTTGTGATATCACTCTTCTTATCTCCAATTCTAGATATTTGCAATTTTGTTAATCCTTTCATTTTCAAAAAAAACAACTTCTTGTCTTGTTGGATTTTCCATTGATTTTCTGTTTTCCGGTTTGTTTGTTTCCACTCTCATCTTTATTACTTCTTTTCTTCTGCTGCTGGAGGTGTATGTTGCCGACCTTGTTCTACATGTTAGAGGTGTTATGCTATTAATTTTGGATTTATCCTCTTTTTTCATATGTGTATGGATTCCTGTGAATTTCCCTCTATAACTGCTTTTGTTGTATCCCCCAAATTTTGGTGTGATGTGTTATTGTTCTCATTTGTTTCTAGAAAATTTTAAATTTCATTCCTTATTTGATCTATTACCCAGTCACTTTTAAGTAGTATACTATTCAGCCTCTATGTGTTTACATTTATGTGCATGCTTTTCCCATTGTTGGTTTCAAGATTCATACCATTGTGATCAAAGAAACTAGGTTTTGGATATAAATGTTTTTGAATTTGTTAAGGTTTGCTTTGTGATCTAACATGTGATGTATTTTAAAGTATTGTGATAGGTAGGTTTATTGTGCCAACCTGGCCAATAGGAACATTTGGGATAAATAAGGTTGCATTTGATTGGAGGGCAAAGAGATAAATGGCTTGGCAAGGCCCACCCCTCTCTTGCTCTGTGGTGATCAGACCAGTATGTGCCTACTTTAGCTAGTTCTCTGTCTCAACTTGTGAGCTACACTACCTGTGGGACAGCCAGCATGTGGAACATGTTGCTAGAGCTTGGGGTTCCCTTGAGACCTACTTCAACATGCTGCTGGCGTATACATCACTTGAGCTTGAAGCGTAGGATCCTGTCAAGTTGCATTGCTTGAGTTCAATATCCCATCCAGGCCTGCTTCACTAAGCTCCTGAACTGCTGACTGTTGGTGACCCGCCCCGTCTGTACTGCTGTGTGGACTAATTAGCTGTTATATTCTTTCATGCTGCATAAGTGTATCTATCATCTATCTATCTCATCATAAGTGTCCTGGTTTTGTTTTTCTAGAGAACCCTGCTTAGCACAAGTATGAGCTGTGTGCAATGGAGAAGAGTGTTTACCATGCTGTTGGATAGGAGTGCTCTCTATATGTCTAAAATGTTGAGCTGATTGATGGTGTTGGTTAACTCTTCTATTGTTTTAGATGTTATATTTTCTTGAGACTGATGTGTTAAAATATCTTATTATTTTTGTCAAGCTATTTATGTATATTTTCAATTCTGTGAGCATTTAATTGATATCTTCCATTGGTTGTATATAAATTTAGATGTTACTTGTGTGTTCCTGTCATTATTATTTTGTGTCCATTTTTATCTCTCATTATGTTATTTTCCTGGAAGTCTATTTCATTCAGAAATAAATATTGCCACTTCTGCCTTGATAGGTTTTTTTTTACCATCCTTTCATTTTGAGTTTATTTTTTATCTTCCAATTATAGTGTGCCTCTTGTTTGCAGCTTGTTTTCTAATAATCTGCTGCTCTCTATCTTTTGATTGATGCATTTTAGTAACTGACATTCATTAGTGATATATGCAGGTTTGTTGCTTTCATTTTTCTTGTTTATGTTTGGTTTCTTCCCTGCACCCCCTCCCCACCAACCTTTTTTTTGCGGGGGGCGTTTAACCCGTCTTTGTTCCTCCTCCATTTCTGTGTCGTTTTTTTTGTTTGTTTGTTTGTTTTTAACATTTTATTAGGGGCTCATACAACTGTTAACCCAATCCATACACACATCAATTGTGTAAAGCGCATTTGTACATCGTTTCTCAAAACATTTTCTCTCCACTTAAACCCCCAACATTAGGTCCTCATTTTTCCCCTCCCTCCCTGCTCCCCCTCCCTCATGAGCCCTTGATAGTTTATAAATGGGTATTTTGTCATATCTTTCCCTGTCCGACGTCTCCCTTCACCCACTTTTCGGTTGTCTGTCCCCCAGGGAGGAGGTCACACACAGTTCCATGTACAGTGAACCCTCGCCACTTCGCGCTTCGACTTCCACGGCTTCACTCTATCGCGGTTTTTGCGTAACAGCGCATGCTCTGTCATTACTGCCACTGATTGGCTCATACTGTACACGCTTGATGCCATAAATAATATAATAAATAATAAATGATAATTGTAACATCTAAAATGTTTTACTGTATTTTCCCTTTTTCGTTTAATAAATTGGGTAATATGAGTGTAATGGTGACTAAAGGGTGTTTTTTCATGTCCTCTATGCTCTAACTACAAAAATATTTGATTTACAAATAAGGAATCCTACTTCGCGGAATTTCATTTATCACGGTAGGGTCTAGAACCGATTAAACGCGATAAACGAGGGTTCACTGTAATCGGTTCCCTCTTTCCTACCCATTCTCCCTTTACCCTCCCTGTTTTGCCACTCACACCACTGGTCCTATAGGGCTCATCCGTCCTGGATTCCCTGTATTTTCAGTTCCTATCTGTACCAGTGTACCTCCTCTGGTCTAGCCAGACTTGCAAGATCGAATTTGAGTCATGGTAGTGGGAGCGGGGAGGAAACCTTTAGGAACGAGAGTAAAGTTGTATTTCTCATCATTGTTACATCGCACCGTGACTGGCTCATCTCCTCCCCGAGACCCCTCTGCAAGGGGATCTCGTTTTGAGTGCTGCTGTCATTATTTTCACTGGTTTCTGAGTGGTGTTGTCCTCTGTGGTGCACTCAGTCTGTCTGCTACTGGTATGGATCTCCCTGAATAGTTACCCAGACCATGATTTTTGTGATGTTGGTCTTGTTTTCACAAATTATTTTATTTTTCTTTGTCTGGAAATACCTTTATTTCACCTTCATGTTTAAGAGATAATTTTGCTGTATATGTAATTCTTCTCTTTATATTCTTTCTTTCTTTTTAACTTAGAGTGTAAATGCAGTTCCCCACTACCACAAGTTATGCAATCCAGTTTTCCACATTTGGGGATATGCATGGGTCAGCACATCCAGAGTGCAATGGATAAGCCTCGCCCTGGGAAAACCAGCTTCACGATCATGGCATCATCCCTGCCAGGTAAATATGTATGTTCAATTCTTGGTTGGTCATATTTTTCCTCTCAGAATTTTATATATGTCACTCCATTGTTTTCTTGCCTGGATAGTTTCTGCTGAGAAGTCTCAGGTGAACCTTATTGGTTTTCCTGTGTAGGTGACTCTTCCTTTATCTCTAGCTGCTCTAAGGATTCTCTCCTTTTCCTTGAAATTGGATAGTTTGATTACTGTAAATCATGATGTTTTTCTTTAAAGATCTACTCCATTTGAGGTTCTCCCAGCTTCTTGAATAATTATTTCCTCCTCCTTTGATATGTTACTTAAATTTTCAGCTATAGTTTTTGAACAATTTGCTCTGCAGATTTGTCATTTCTCTCTGTTCCCACATCCCAATAAGACATAGGATTTTCTCAAAGATGGTGTCCCATATGAGTTTCAGTCTTTCTTCTGATTCCTTCACTTTGTTGTTGTTGTTGTAGTCAGAGTTATTGTCTTCCAGATCACGAATTCAATTTTCCTCTTCTTCCATTCTATTCATCAGGTCTTCTACTGTATTGCCTAATTCTGTTACCTCATTATTTATCTTCTGCAAGTCTTTCTGATTTAAGGATTTTGATTTTTCAACCCTCTGTTGTTCTCATGACTGCTTTCCAACATCTCTTGAAAAGTCCTATCCAGCATTCTTCTGTATTCTTTCTTCTTGTAGTTCCAGGGCCTCTTCTTCAGAGTGTTCCGCTGAATTTGTAGGTGTTTTTAGGTGGTTTGCGTTTGCTTTTATTGTATTATTTGAGGATCCTGCATTCGATTGATGTTTCCTCTGCTTTGTGGTACAGCCATTGGTGGTGTGAGTGCTGCAGGCACATGTAGAGATAGCTGATTCTGTGAGATGTCTAAGAGGGGCTGGAAAACATACGGTGCTGAAATGGAGAAGAGGGGAGAGAATGAGTAAGTGAGGGAAATGTAGGGAAGGAGAGAGAGAATAAAAGTAATTATAATAGTAATAAGTGGTTGTCAGGGTAGGCCTACAGATTTGTAAAAATAATGGTAAAATGTATTTTAAAAGAGGTCATCAGAATTTTTTAAATGCATAGAAATATATTTCATGAGGAAAAAGAGAAAGGGCAGAAAGGAATAATAAACTGCTATGCAAGGGAGAAGAAGGACAAAAGAGACAAAAGACTTGGCTTTGGCTTATGTGCCCTGAAGTTCTGTTGCCATGGCAGTGTGGGTGCGGGCTTGGTTGTGCACTCAAAGTGGGGGAGGGTGGAAACCTCTTGTTTGGGTAGGTGTGCCACAATCTACAGCCTTGGTTGTTTTTGTCTGGGGGGTAATGTGCATTTTCAGGAGGGTGGGGTCATACCAGAAGATGACACTGGAAGAGGAAGTGGGGGAGGACCAGAAAAAAACAACAACGTATTATTATACAACAAAAGTACAAAAAACAAAGAAGAGAAAAGAAAACAGTTTTGAGGGTGAGTCTTCCTATTCTTTGGTAGTGTTGTTGTGTGTACTTGTGTGCTGAGCCATGGAGGTGGGGCATATGAGGGGGGAAGGCACACAAGAACAAAGCACAAAAAAGGAGCAAGGGGAAACATAGCAAAAGGTGAAGCTTGATTACTGATTAGTCTGCAGCAAGTTGCCTGTGCAATCTGCTATCCACCAGGGACCCCATAGCCCAGCGAGGTGATCTTTTGGTTGGCTGGATTGCCTCAGAGGCCAGGAATAATCAGTTGCACCCGGCAAAACTGGGGCTTACAGAAGTGGCTTGTGCAACTGGTCCGTGGGAAAGGGGAGTCTGTCACCAGGTCTTGCTCTTCTCCCACTTTAAATAACTTGGGTCTACTTAGCTTTAAAGTTGAATTCCTCACTGCCACAATGTGTAGAAAGTCTCTACTACTGGAACCTGGCAAGTTGTTTCTAAATTGGTATCAGCTTCAAAGTTAAACCCTGCCTGGTTCCAACTGAAAACCTGCTTGTCCCTATTTCTGTAACAATGATTTTTTTCCTTTTTTCTCCTCACCTCCATAATTTTCAAAAAATAATTGGAGTTCAGCAGACAGAGATAGTTTTGTCTCTCTCCTTTAAAAAAATGTGAAATGTGTTAGAGAAACAAATCCAGCGATATTCATATAGATGTGCAAGAGAGAGCTTTTTATCATAGAGTGATTGAATATTGAGAAAACATCTCAACTCATTTCATATTAAGTCTTTACGTCCAATATTAGCCCACCAATCTATAGATTCCTCCTCAGACACATGCATCACATGCAAAGATGCCGAATGCAGGAAGATCACAGGCCAGTGGGTGGAAAGTTCAGTGGGTCCAGTGGCAGTGGACACATCTACAGGGTTCTGACTTCCATCAGCATGGCTCCATGTGGCTTGTCAACAGGAATGCGTAGCAGAGAAAGTGAGTGTGTCTCACCTCCAGGGAGAAAAAGAAGAAGTCCCCAAATCTTCATGAGAAGGAGTGATCACCAGGCTGTGACCTGATTGACAGGCTGGGCTCCATCCCTTCATTCTCATTTATCAAGTTGTTATGAAATTGTGTAACTACCACAGGCCACCCACTGTCAACTTGAAACTTTACACAACTCTTTAGCCATATATAATTCATAAAGCAAGGACAATGATAAAATCATATTTGTGCATAACAGGATAAAATGAAAACACATACAATTCTATATGTGCCAGTCTCATTTAATCATAAATATTCTATAAGTGAACAACACAACAATTCTATGCCTAACAATTGCAGTTGAAAAACACTTAAACACCTTAATCCTATAATTCTATGAATATATTCCCATACCTATGAAAGTTTGTAAATCAGAAACGTCATGCCTTTATCCTCCCTATTTGGGGTATCTAATTTCTATTCTGCCCACTTACATCAACCCAGTGCTCTGAGGAGACAATCATATTCTTTGATGTGAAGAATCTTCATTCTAGTTGGAATCTTGTGAGTCTACATCCATAAGCAAAGTCAAATCAGGACAGGCCATCCATAAAGTCAGCATCAATATGCACCAATTACAGGTTCAAAAATCTTCCCTTCATCTGGTTGGGTCTGGTCATCTCAATGTGGGCTGCCTCTCTTAGCCTCACCAGGGTGCCCATTGGCTGCCTTCCCTTTAGACCATGGGCCCCATCACAAGTTCTCTACAACCCTGACCCCTTTGTGCTCGGTCATGAACTTCAGACCAGACAACCCGCCCTTGTCTTCTCTAATTCCTGTGAACCAGGTCCATGGGTATCAGTGACCAGACTCAACCTGTCTCGTTATTGCTATTTCTCTCACTTCTGCTCAACAAGTGGATCCAGATGGTCACCTAGCAACCATTTCAGCCTGTCCATAGACTCCATTTAACGTTCCGTCTTAGAGAAGAGAGTTCCTTTATGGCTCCAAATTTTTCCAGCTTCAGGGACAAACCACTAGTTCAAAATTCAAAAAGCCAATGAGTTCCCTTTGTCCTCAGTCTGTCAACAGCCCCCTAGGCAAGAATCTTCAGATACAAATGTCCTGAGTACTCCCAAGCACTGGGTGGGTTTATCATTTCCAGAGCCTTCTTTGCAGGCATGTCCCAACCCATTTAAAGATGCAAATTGATGGCTGAAACAGTGACCTTACAAACTCTCCACTTATATTTGCTAATAATCACTTTCTAGCAATCATTATATCAGTAACAATAGGCAGAAGTAAACAATATAAACCTATTAGAAATAGATCCTAAACTCAATCCTGAAGCAGTCAAGTTCCCTTATGTATCTTATCTTAATCTTATCTAAACCATTCCACTGATACAAAATAGGGTCTTACACCTCTGACTGCATCAAGGCAGCATCTGGCTTTCCGCCAGTCACTTTGACAGTCTTTCATTAAGCCATTTTTCACTAGGAAGCATGCTGTCTAACAAATTCAAGGGGCATTTTTGCCCCCTAAGCTCAACACATATATTAATCACATTCATTTAGACCGTTTCAAACAGGAATAACCAAAGACAACAACCAAATAAAATAACCCAAAATTTAACTTCCCATATTCTTTTAGAAAACAAGCAAGTAAACTGCATGACCATATCTGACCTCTGGTTACCCAAAGAAGAAATACTACCACGAGGCAGAGGTCAAACAAGCATCCACTCTCCATCTTCCTGATTTGTTTCTCGAGTACCCCACTCCCAAGGGACCGTAATGTGTCATTTCACTTTGACTAGAGAAACAAATCCAAAGACATTCGTATATGTGTTATATCATAGAGAAATTGCATATTGAGAAAACATTCCAACCCAGTCCAGATCAAGTCCGTACGTCTGATATTAGTCCATATGCCCAATACTAGTCTATAAATTCCTCCCCAGACTCACACAGCACATTCAATGATGCCGAATGCAGGAAGATCACAGGCTAGTGGGTGTAAATTCCCATGGGTCCAATGACAGTGGACGCATCTCCAGGGCTCTGGCTGCCATCAGCGTGGCTCCATGTGGCGTCTCAACAGGAATGTATAGCAGAGAGAGTGTGTGTCCACCTCCCATGAGGAAGAGAAGTCCCAGAATCCTCATGGAAGGGCCAAGCCCTCAACAAGGGATCACTCATCTTTTAACTGTTCCTCCTGCCCATGGAGCCAATATTAAACTAGGATCACTCTATATTTGCGTATTCTAGATATTTCATATTAGTGAAACCATGCACTGCTTGTTCTGCATGATTGACTTATTTCATTCAATATGATTCGGTTTTGTCTCCTACTAGGTTGGTGAACTCACATAAATCATTTATTACCTTTGCATTTCAAGGTTCACATAAAAAAATGAAGGGAATAATTTTGCTTCACAAAGTTGTTATAAGAATTAAATATTTCTATGTGAAATATTTCTACATACAAATACCTTGATTTGGAGCTACTTTGTTAAATGCATAGGTATTGTTTTCCTGTCCCATATAAAAATATCCACAACAAAGCATATTAACAGTAGGATTTAGTAAAATATAAAATAATTAAATAAAATTAATTTAGCAAATTAACT